ATCCGAAGGGCTTCTATCGAAAACGTTTCTTTTTGCTTGCATCCTATCCGAGTTATTCTCACTCTATAGAATAGAATCCGAAGGGTTTCTATCGAAAACGTTTCTTTTTGCCTGCATCCTATCCGAGTTGTTCTCACTCTATAGAATAGAATCCGAAGGGCTTCTATCGAAAACGTTTCTTTTTGCTTGCATCCTATCCGAGTTGTTCTCACTCTATAGAATAGAATGCGAAGGGCTTCTATCGAAAACGTTTCTTTTTGCTTGCATCCTATCCGAGTTGTTCTCACTCTATAGAATAGAAGCCGAAGGGCTTCTATCGAAAACGTTTCTTTTTGCTGCATCCTAATTGTTCTCTCTCTATAGAATAGAAGCCGAAGGGCTTCTATCGAAAACGTTTCTTTTTTGCTTGCATCCTATCCGAGTTGTTCTCACTCTATAGAATAGAATCCGAAGGGCTTCTATCGAAAACGTTTCTTTTTGCTTGCATCCTATCCGAGTTGTTCTCTCTCTATAGAATAGAAGCCGAAGGGCTTCTATCGAAAACGTTTCTTTTTGCTTGCATCCTATCCGAGTTGTTCTCACTCTATAGAATAGAATGCGAAGGGCTTCTATCGAAAACGTTTCTTTTTGCTTGCATCCTATCCGAGTTGTTCTCTCTCTATAGAATAGAAGCCGAAGGGCTTCTATCGAAAACGTTTCTTTTTGCTTGCATCCTATCCGAGTTGTTCTCACTCTATAGAATAAACATCAGTATTAAACCGCAGTTTGCATTGTGTCTTGAAAAGGCTTCACTTGCCTTTGTGACTCACTGTTTCTGGATGAGTACTAGGACAGTCCACAGCTTGGTCGCCTATGGTCTGGCACTATCAGTTGAGTTTCGCAGGACACGGTGGTTCCTTTCGCTGTTATCCTTCTTGCTTGCTTACCAGAAGAAAATTTACTATCCCATTACGCAGCTAATTTTTTTACGTTTTTCTGCTTGCCATAATTCCGTTTATGCTCTAATCCAAACAATCTGCACGAGGACTAACAAACGCTTTTCGTGAATCTAGCGAAAACAACAAGCCTTTCATTACATCGCCATAGCAGTGAGGCTGTTTTGTATCGACT